AAAAAAAGGCCAATTTAAAGGTTGCAAGCTACTCGATGGCACATAACAACAACAACAACATTTAATTTTATATTGGAAGTCTTAGTGATAGCAATTAAGACATGAGAAGGAAATAAGAAGTGTCTAAATTGGCAAAGAGGAGGCAAAATTATCTTTATATGCAGGTGATATGATAGTATCCTTAGAAAACTGTACAGACTCAGCGAGAAAACTCCTAGACATAGCTGACCAACTCAGCAAAGTGCCAGGATACAAGATCAAAATACAAAAATCAATTGGATTTCTCCATAGTGACAAAGAAAATATAGAAATTAAGAAAAACAATACACATCACAATAGCTAACTCCAAGATTAAATACTTGGGAGCAAACCTAACTACACAAAAGACCTATTTAAAGAAAATCCTAAAACATTATTTCAATGGGGTGGGGGGAAGAGAGAGACCTGGAGAAATGGAAGAATACACTATGCTTATAGGCAAGGAGATTCAATATTGTGAAAATGAAAATTCAAACAAATGCAATCTACAAATTTAATGCAATCCCAATACAAATACCAATCCAATTCTTCAATGAAATAGAAAAGGCAATTTCCAATTTCACCTGGAATGGAGAGGAACAATGAAAAAGGAGATAGTTTGAGATAGTTCTAGAGATAGCTTTCCAGTTTTGGCAACACGGCTATTAAAGATGCTTCTATTACTCCACTTAACTGATTTTGTCTCCTTGTAAAATATCAGTTGACCATAGGTAGAAGAGCTGATTACTGGGTTCTCAGTTCTATTCCACTGATCTATGTGTCTGTCACAGTACCATGCTGTCTTGACCATCATGGCTGTGTAGCAGAATTTGAGATCAGGGAGTGAGATGTTTCCTACCTTGCTTCACTTTTTTCAGGGGTACTTTACTTATTTACTTTATTTACTCACACCATACACAAAAACCAACTCAAAGTGTATCAAGGAATTTCATCAGAGAAAAAAGGTTGGAAAAACTCTGGAAGCACTAATCCAGAATCTGAACAGTTTTGCAAGTATCTTGCAAAACCTACAACCCGGAGAGAATAAAATTGATGAAATGGGACCTTCTAAGAATAAAATCTCTATGCACATCAAAAAACTTCTACAATAGGTAAAAAGGAAAGCTATAGACTGAAAAAAAATGTTTGATAATTACATATCATACACTAGCAAAATCCTGCTGAAGATTACCCAGAAATGACTGGAACAGTGCCGTGACAGAGAACTACCAGAAATATAAGTTGAGTTGAGAAGAGGTCATGGCAATAGAGATATTACTGCAAATGTCAGATGAATCTTGTAGAAAGCAAAGAGTACCAGAGGAATGCTTATCTGTGTTTCATTGACTATGTAAAGGCATTTGACTGGGTGAATCACCACAAATTGTGGCTAACTTTAAAGAAAATGGAAATCCTAGAACACGTGATTGTGCTTATGCAAATCATAAGACCTTATTGGACCAGGAAGCAGTCCTCAGAAGAGAGCAGGGAAACATTTCATGGTTCAAAATCAGGAAAGGAGTGGGATGCATCTTGTCTCCAAACCTTTTCAATCTATCTGCAGAACAGATCATTTGGGGAGAACAGCTTTATGCGGAATGCGGCATCAGGTTTAGAAGAAGACTAATCAACAACCTTGTTTCTGTTATCTCCTGCAACTCATAGCAACCCTAGGTACAACAGCTCTAAATCCTGCTCTACTCACCAATGGTCTTCCTCTCCTGAATTGCCCCTATAACCTCCTAGACGTGACATCCCTCTCCAAGGACTGGTCCCTGCTTACAACATGTCCAAAATATGTCAGACAAAGCTTCAGAATCTTTGACCCCAAGGAGCAGCCAGATTACACCCTCTCCAAGACAAACCTTCAACACCACAGCTCAAAGATATCAGTTCTCCTTCTATCATCCTCAGTCATTCTCCAGCTCTCTGATGCTGGACAATGCAAACCAAGTGATTGCAAGGACCATGGCCTGTATCAGGCACACCTTAGTCTCCAGACTGAACCTATGTCATGGAAATGACACAACCTTGCCTGCTGAAAATGAAGAAGACCTTGAAGCACTTGCTACAGAAGATAAAGGACTATAGTATTCAATATGAATTGAAGGTCTATATTAAGAAGACAAATATTCTCACCAGTGGGCCAATTGGCAGCACCATGATAGATGGAGAAGAGATTGAGATTACTAACAATCACAGCTTACTTGGCTCCACAATCAATATTCTTTGCACAAACAGTCAGGAAATTAAAAGACAAATTGCAGCTGCTTGCTGACGTCAGGGACACACTAGGGAGCTAAAGCCAAGTATGCACCAGGGATCTGCTGGCTGACTCCAGACATGCACTGGGAAGCTTCTGGCTTACACCACACTCATGCTGAGGAGCTGCTGACGCATACACTGGGGAGTGATGCACCAGGGTGAACAAGAAAACTGGAATCTCAGTGAGTGTGAGCCCGGAACTCCAGTCCTGTCATCATCAGCCCATGCCTGGAACTCTGCTTCTGATGCCACTGGTCCGTGCCCAGAACGCTGCTCCCAACATGCACCAGGAGTGACATTGGAACTTGAGTGAGGTACCTTGGGGGTGGTTTCATGGCTGTTTTGCTGGTTCGCGGAGACCCCTTAAGCTCAATTCAAAGGGACTGAGACAACTGGAGCTCGTTCTTGAAGGGAAAACAAAGACTTCCTCGTTTTCAAATTGGATCTTTGTGCTCTGCCTTGCATCTCTTCACATCCAGTAAATCAACTGCCTTTAGCCCAGAGAACCTTGGCTACCCTACTTGTGGTAGTTGTTTCCACAGCCCTTTTCCCTATCGAACTGAGAGAAACCCAGGCAGGGTAGCTGTCCCACCCACTTCTGGAGCAGTGACTTCAGATCAAAAACCTGGTATCACCTCAGACATGAAAAACTCTACCACAGCATTGTCATGTAGGAAGCTCTACACAAGCCCAAAACAAGATGGCACCCCAAAAAAGTGACACGGTATCAATGGATTTCCTGAAGCCAGAAAGTCTGATAAAACTTTCTAACACATAATTTAAAAGAACAATGACTGTATATTTTCCATGAGTGAAAGACAAACTTGAAGAATTACAGGACACTGTAAGCAAAATTCAGGAGGAGCTTAAAAAATATTCAAAACAATGCAGATAAAACAAACATGGTATTAGAGGCTCTGGAAAAACAAGAAAGCACAATCCAAAACATGAGGACCAATGTTTCAGATGCTGTCAACATGATTGAGGGTCACATGAATAGAGTTGAAGAGATGGAACACAGAACCAATTATATAGAAGATAGCACTGATCTGCTAGAACAAAAAGTCGAATAAAAAAAAAAGGAAAAAGAAGAATACCTAAGAATAATGTGGGACAACATCAAAAGAAATAACATGTGCATCACTGGAATCCCAGAATGAGAAGAAGAAAGTAAAGGAACCAAAAAAAGTTGTGGAAGACTCACTAGAAGAAAATTTCCCAGGTATAGTGAAGAATGAGATAATTTATATTCAAGAAGCTGAGAGAACATCATTTAGAGTAGATGCCAAAAGAAAAACCCCAAGACATATTTGCCAAGTCAAATTTGCCAGGACCAAAAATAAGGAGAGAATTCGGAAAAAAGCAAGGGAGAAACAAATAGTAACCTATAAGGGAGAACAAATAAGATTTAGTGTGGATTTCTGAGCAGAAACCATGTGAGCCAGAAAACAATGAATGACATATATAGAACTCCCAAAGAACACAACTATCAATCAACCAACAATATTATATCCAGTGAAATTGTCCACCAAATATGGACAGATCAAGATATTCCCAGAAAAACAGAACCAAAGGGAATTTGTAAAAATAAGACTGAAGGAAACACTGAGAGATGTCCTTCTTACACAGATGCCACAGAAAGCAGGATGGACCAAAGTAACTTAGCAACAACACCAAAAAGAACTCAACAAAATGATAACAATGGGAACTTGCCTCTCAATATCACACTGAAGGTGAATAGTTTAGATGAACCACTGAAGAGAAAAAGAGTAGCAGACTGGATTTAAAAAAAAAAAAAACCAAAATCCATCAATATGCTGTCTATAACAGACACACCTGAAAAATGAAGAGAAAGAAAGACTAAAAATAAAAGGGTAGGGAAAAATATACCCAACAAATGGCAACCAGAAGAAAGCAGGAGTGGCAATATTAATTCCTGATAAAATAAATTATAATAAATAAATTTCAATACAAAAACCATCATAAAGGACAAGGAAGGACACTACATAATGATTAAGGGTAAACAGAACAAGAAGATATAATAATAATAAATATCTGTGCACCACATGAAAGATTTGCAAAATATATAAAAAAACATTAACAAAACTGATAAAGGAAATAGACAACACTCCTACAGTAGTTGGAGACTTCACTCTCAAGAAAAGATAGAACTCTATTATAAAGATAGACCCTATTAAGGAGAGTCCTCAATGCTTGTGTGTCTTTCATTCTCTTTCCAGGTTCATAGGGAGGAACAATTAGGCTACTTTATAAAATAGGTGCAAGAAAATGTGGATCAAAACATAAAAAAGCCAAGGCTTACTGGTCTGACAGACTGGTGGAATCCCTGAGATTATACCCATGCCTTAACTTTCAGACAAATAACAGGCCTACAAGTGAACTGTAATGCCAAGGAGGCCCTCACTCCTTATAGTAACCAACTGTATAAGACAATAGAGTTACATTTGTCCAAGAATAAAGCAGAAACAGGAAGGTGTAAGATATAAAGATTGGTGGAAATGTTATTATAGGGAGGCAGGGAGAGGAAAAGTGTAAAAGTGTGGCTGGCTACTACATATTAACAACAAGAATTGCAATTTTTGTTATAAATGAAAATATGTACAAATGGTTGGACAGAAACTCAATTTGTTTTGTAAACTTCCACACAAATCAAAACTGAAAAAAATAAGACTAAAAGAGTTCTGGTTGCATAATGCTCATGGGGCTGTTAACCTACAGGCTGGCAATCTGAATCACCTAGGGCATTGGGAGAAAGTGTCTAATCTACTCTGATATTCACAGCCTTGTAAACTTGAGGGGGACACCCTATGAGTTAGAACCAACTCGAAAGCAGTCGATTTAAATTTTGGTTCAAGAGACTAAGTCACTTGATATGTGACTTGTCTACTATTTAGATTGTCTACTTGCTAAGACCTTGCATAAGGTGAACAAAGCAGTAATTAGAGGTCAATTTATAGCAATAAGCAAACTTGTGAGAAGATCGGGGAGGGGGAGGGGAATAACCATTTAACTCTAACCCAACATCTCCAACAAGCTGAAAAAGAATAGCAAGAAAATCCAACACCTTCAAAAAAAGTTGAAATTATAAAAATTTGGGCAGAAATAGATGAAATAGAAAATGGAAAATAATTTAAACCATCAACAAACCAGGAGTTGGTTCTTTGAGAAGGTCAATAAAATCAACAAACCACTAGCAAAACTAACAAAAAAAAAAAAAGAAGAAAAAGACAAAAGTAATCTGAATAAGGGATGAAATGTGTAATGTCACAATAGAACCAACTAAAATAAAAAGGTTAACAATGAAATATTATGAAAAACTATACTCAAACAAATATGAAAACATCGAGGAAATGGACAAATACCTAGAAAGTCACACCCTACCTAAACTGGCACAAACTGAAATTGAACACGTGAACAGACTCATTACAAAAGAAGAAATTGAAAAGGTAGAAAAACAACTTCCAGACAAAAAAAAGCCCTGGACTAGATGGTTTTACAAGTAAATTTTATCAAACATTCGGAGAAGAACTGTCACCAATTTTAAATAAAGTATTTCAGAAAATAAAAAAGATGGAATTCTCCCACCCATTCTATGAAACAAACATATCCTTGATACCAAAACCAGGTAAAGACACCACCAAAATAGAAAACTATACGCCAATATCTCTCATGAACATAAATGCAAAAATCCTGAATAAAATCCTGGCTAATAGAATCAAACAATAGATCAAAAAAATAATACACCATGACCAAGTTGTGTTCATAACAGGTATGAAAGAATGGTTCAACATAAGAAAAACAATCATTGTAATTCATCACATTGACAAAGCAAATAACAAGAACCACATGATCCTATCAATTGAAGCAGAAAAGGCCTTTGACAAAATCTAACACCCTTTCCTGATTAAAACACTCAACAAAATAGGAACAGAAGGAAATGTCCTCAACATAGTAAAGTATATATTCAATCCTGAGAACCAAAGTTGTTCTCAGGTTAGAGAAGTTAAAGACATTCTCCTTGAGAACAGGAACTAGGTAAGAATGCCCACTATCAACTCACCTATGCAATATTGTATTAAAAGTTGGATCAGGGTTGGGGTAAAACTGAGAAAAACTGCATCTATTAAGCATACTGAATTGAAACAGTTTAGGAGAGAACAGTTTAAAAGTGATTTATGATAGCATATTATGATTATCACAGGAATCTAGAATTAAGGTTGCATAGTGGAGTGCATTTGTGGCGCAGTGGGGGAGGGGGCAGGGTCGGGGTTGGGGTGGCGTGGAAGGGTGGCATTGTATACCAACAAAGAAGTTTATCTTTTGCTTTTCAAAGAGAGGAGCGAACTGGGGGGAGGGGGGTAAAGAAAAAAGTGCAGCAATGAATGAATGAAAATCCAAAATCTCTGTAAATGTTCATTAAAATTAATAAAATAAAATTTTAAAAAATCTTGTTGGTAGCAATAAGACAAGAGAAGGAAATAAGAGGTATCTAAATTGGCAAAGTTGTTGTTATGCACTATTGAGCTGCCTGCGACTCATAGTGATCATATGTACAACAGCCCTAAACCCTGCTCTATCCCCTACCAATCTTATTGTCTCCAATACAATACGCCTATCCCCATTACCCCAGTGATGGAACTAATCCATCTCATCGAGGGTCTTCCTCTCCTGTGCTGTCCCTCCACCCACCCAAGCATGATGTCATTCTCCAAGGACTGATCTCACCTTGCAACATGTCCAAAATATATTAGATGAAGCTTCAGAATCTTTGCCTCCAAGAAGCAACCTGGCTTCACCCTCTCCAGGACGATCTTGTTTGTTCTCCTAGCAGTCCATGGTATATTAAATACTCTTCTCCAGCACCACAGCTCAAAGGCACCAATTCTCCTTCTATCACTCCTAGTCATTGTCCAGCTCTCTGATGCATAGCAAGTAATTGTAAAGACCATGGCCTCTAACGGGTGCACTTTAGTCTCCAGACTGACATTGTTGCTCTTCAGTACTTTGGAGAGGTCTCTGACATCAGACTTTCGCAATGCAATTTGTCTTTTAATTTCCTGGCTGATGGAACCAAGACTGTTGATTGTAGAGCCAAATAAACTGAAGCTGTTAATTATCTCAGTCTCTTCATCATCTACCATGATACTGCCAATCAGCCCAGAGGAGGTAAAATTATCCCTATGTACAGATGATATGATAGTTAAGGTGAGGAAAAATGGGGTTGCTTTCATAGTTAGAAAAGCCATTTCTAGATCCGTCTTCAAGTACAATATTGTCAGTGACAGGATAATATCTATACGCATACAAGGAAGTC